CAGAAAGAAACATTTTAGTTTAACAATCCACTATTTTAATATTGTCGCTTAACAAACACCTTTTATTGGTCAATTTATCACRAAATTCATTTTATTCATTATGAAAGTTTATAATAATTACACACCACCCATAGAATGTTAATGCGAGGGTTCCAGTTTTGACAGTGGTTTTTAATGTGAATGCTTATAGGTGATCATTTTGCGAAATGCTTTCAAAAACATTGTTYTGTACGCSTCGCAAAAGGGAAGACACGARCAAATCACTTCGGAGACGACGCTCTCTCTTAGAGCGAACACCGCCAAAGGGACGTATGATGACCTACTTTTTGACCCCGAGGCATTCAAGAGCCAGTTTAAGGTAAGCACATTCTGCGCAGTTTGCCGTGGGGAGACTGGTGCGAGGGGCTGCAAAGAGAAGGGTCAATGGGGAGTCCCCCTATCTCTACACCCTTAGTCTTGGTATATTGTATTATACGATCAGATCGAAATCTTTTGATAATAGTATTTTGCCCAACCATTCGAAATCAAACCCTGTTTTTAAAGGCATGGAGCTCTTTTCAGTAAAAAAAAACCCTTACCTTCCAAACATTTGTTTGTTTAAACTTGTTCAACAACATAGAACATCCACACATGCCTGAATTACTCTAGTTTGCTATTCTAGGATAGTTTCCCGTTATGGGCAAAACAAGTGGCCGAAAAACCTCCAAATAAGAGAACGGACGAAGAGGTGAAGCTGTTAGTTCGACTTATGAAACAACTAAAAGGTTTCAGGCGGTATAGTCCTGATGTGCAGACTTCGTTTTGTAGAGTATTAAAATACGACCGGTAAGTAAACTTCCTTGTGTGATAATGATGAAGGAAGGCTAATCTAACATATGAATTATATACTCGTCAGTACTTGCTCCTTTTTTTCCAAAACAAAAAACAAACAAAAAACTGGCTGCTCGTCTAAAAGGGCGTGACTTAATTTTAATCCCAAAAAGAGTGCTAAAAAGAGTGACATAAGAAATCGCTATACATCCTTTATTATTAAGTTTAATTATTTACTATTAAAATTAATAATCCTCTGACGCTCTAAAAGATGAGGGCGAAAACGTTATTGTGCCCTTTACTTTGGAATTGAAAACCCCAAGTCCCGACAGATTTCGCTTTGTTGTATGTAGGTATGGTCGTAGACGAGTGATTATTCGCAAAGGTCACATTGCACAGCGGTTGTACTTCATATTCAGTGGTTCAGTATGCGTGACTGATGACGAAGACGAGGACAGTGCTTTTGCAAACACAGAAGATGAAAAGGCGTGCCTTAAACGCGGGGACTATTTTGGAGTGAGTATTTTTCTATCGGACTACATATGTCCCKAGGTTACTACACCCCGACTGTAGTGAGGCCTGGAAACGACACTGTTGTGATAAGCAGGGCAAAATGCGTGATACGTAAACAAATCCGGCTATTACGTACGTGATAGAAACTCACCCTCAAGCTGGTGTGGGTTGCGTCTCCTATATGGTCGTTTAATTACCCAGTAATTACCCAGATTATCTGAAAGTTTGCGTGCGTTAATTGAGGGGCTGGGACGCTTATACATTCGTCCGTTGAAATTCTCTATAAAGAAAAGATGCAATCTTCTCTTACGAAAAACCTTATTGCCCATGAGGATATAGCACTAATTGTCATTATGCTGCTAGAGTGATAAATTGACTATCAGCGTCTAATCTAATATGATGTCTTGAAAGGAAAGCAAATGAACTTGAGTATATTTATATATCTGATAAACTACTTCCATCCATTAACACCAGTTTATAGAATTTCTCTATTTTACTCTAATTTTGACAGGAACTAGCTTTCCTCAAAAACATTAGACGAGCKGCGACCATCGTTTGCTTGGAGCAAACCGAGTTTTTGTCTGTCAGTAGAGAGGATTTCTTCGAAACAGGAATTGACAAATGCTTTGCWAGGGACTTAGAAAAACGAATCCAGTTTTTGAGGTAAGATAACAAAACATGCATCCTTCATGATTCTCATGTTAACACCTCGCGAAACATTTTAACAAACCCAAGACCGCAGCTTGTGGAGCAYACTATCTTAGCCAGATTTCCTCGATGTGCAGAGTAATCAAGTGTTCTGGTGTTTCTAGCCATATTTGCGATTATTMAAAATGTTGGCTACTTTTCTATATTTTAAAAGAGATTTTATCTTGGTTTCGTGGAAAAGGAATGTCTTTAACAAATCTTGATATACATTACAGCAATCATCCCTTGTTTGTCACGTGGCCGCGCAGATCAATACTTCATATCGCCGAGGTCAGTAGAGTCCATGCATACCACAGTGATGACGTCATTGTCAAAAATTCCACCGACTCTTATTGGATGTATTTTATAACTAAGGTAAGCCCTACCTCCCCTCCCGAAACGCATTATCATCGTACACTTTGGTGAAAGTAAATGAAATGAAATAATAAATTGCAGACTCCGATTGGTGTGCGACATCAATTATTAATTATTTCTGATCTTATAGGGTCAGTCTGAAGTTCTTCGTCTAGTTGACCTCCAAAGCTGCCCTGCCTATCAAAAGTACTTTTCAAAACCCAATACCTCAGTTGAAACGTCAATGAGCTACCCATGTAAAACCTCCACAACATTTGACTCCTTGATGTTGAACACATTCCCAATTATTGAAGAAGACGAAGAGGATGAAGAAGGATACCTAAAAGGCAGCGTTAAGTCTTGTCATTCTGATATCAACATCCCCGCTAGACGGCGCAACATACCTAAGGCGTCTACAAGAAGCAAGTCCGCTAGTGTACGATCGAGTTCATCGTCTGCTTCTCAGTTGACCCAAAGCGACGCACAATCGTCTAAGTTAGACATTGGTGTTGGAGTGTATATGGTTTTGGATAAACTAACAACAGGAAGCTTGTTTGTAAGTTTTACTACTTCGTTACAAAATGTACAGCAATCTCTTTCKGGAGTTTTGATATCCTTTACCTTATTACAGCATAGTATAGTATCTTCCTTACACGCAGCTTTTTGTAATATTACCTTGATATTATCTATCCACACTGCAGCAATCCTCACTGACCCTATAGCATTTCATTAACTCTCTACATTCTCACATCTCTCTTTTCCACAACTATTTCATAATCCCTCCTCCTCCCCCACAACATTGAACACTCTTTAGTCTCTTCCTCACAACATTTGAAATTAGTTCTTCAATATTATTACAGCTCTTTATAAGTTAAAACGTTCCCTGTAACGTTCCCAAAGCATCGCTTGATCCCCCCACTTCCCCCTGGCCACCACAGCACCAAATCCTACTYTTCTGTATTCTCATTTCATTCATTCATTAGGGGGCCTGGTCAGTAATCAAACAAGAAGATGAAAAGGATCGAAAGCGACCAAAAGTGAAAGAAAGACGATTCATTCTCCTCAGTGAAGGATGTGAGGTCATCAAAATGCCCAAAAAGGAATTCACTAAAGATGCTGACAGTGAAACAATTGAGCATCTTCGACTACTGACAGCTAATTATCCCACTGACAATAAACTCTGTCAGGCTTATTTAAAACAAAGTAATTGGCGCTGCTACAGAGAAGAGCTTGTTGATGATATTATTGAAAGAAAGCAAGCAATCAAGCATGGTGTAACTCGCACTCTTGCTAAGCCAACACCCATTGTTTCCCCTTTATGTTCCTTCGTCGCTCAACATCCTGCTTCCTCAAACTGGGAGTATTTTCGCGGTACAGGCTGGACTGCTTCCAAAGTTATCTCCCCTGTGATAAAAGGTAAGCGCATCYACTATTTGAAGGACGTTTGCCAACTCATTCCCTTTGGCTAGATCATATCAAAAGATTTGATCTGGCTATATTTATGTCCCTTGTCGAACTAAATCCTTAAATCGTTAACAGTATAAGTCAATCGGTGTTCATGCAGAACGCAATCCATCAGCCATTTTTTGCGTGGCAAAATTCCAACGAGATTTTTTTTGATGGGACTTAAATTTGATAACCCTTATAGTGGTTATATCAAAGAKGTTTGACGTGCTCTGCGTATTAGTCTATTAGTAGACAACGCTGGAAAGTGACGAGCGAGTAGGGAAACTAAATAGGAAGCGCGCAAGATCTTCATCCACCAAGAGAGAACAATTCTCAGCCAATTAGGATGCGCGTAGTATCTCAATTATATAATGAAGGAGACGGAGAACTAGCGCAGATTTATAGATAGTGTCAAGTGAGAATGTTATACTTGAACCAAAAGATCCCGCATTAACTGGGATCCGATTATCCAACTTCTTTAGAGAAGATTCTTGGCGAAGTCAGTTGGATTGAAATGATACCCGATCACTGTCAACTTTGAGTATTTCTTTTCAAGTTAGCCTTTTCTCCCTTTATAGTTAATTATATAATCCGTAATTATTGAAGACGACGRCGGTTTATTAATAATGACAATCATAACTAGAGCATATACCAGAGTATGCCCTTGGCATGAATTCACTTCCTGTGAAAACAACTCACCGCACGCCGGTCTGATATATCTTATGAGATATCCTCGCTCGCCACATTTCATGAATCATTTTGGTTTCCTTTGATAACTTGATATGACATTGCCCCAAGGTGCTACAATACTTCATTCAATGGTATGAAACCCCCCAAAAATGTGGTCTATACATAAGAGTCTTCATATCAAATCTGTGACAATCCGGCGTACATTAATATTAAATTGCCCAGTTATATACACCATTATAGATATAACAGGAATTCGTTTAAATGTTTGTAGCGTCTGCGTCTGATTCGGTTGATAATAAATGCTGTGGGCGTAGCCATGTCCATAGTACGTTAATCACGTGATTTGAACAGACATTTAAAGGTCTACACCGGCTGTCTAAGCGTCATAACGACCAGGCTATAGTCGATGCAACAAGATGTATCTAGGAAWTGCTTCTCGTTTATTTACAATTTTTTGCCTTGCTATCCTCTGYTTGGATTGTGTCACAGCGTCAAGGGAACCCAAGCCACGTATCAAGGTAATTGTTRTCTTCATTTATGCTGTCTTTTGTTSTCAGTAATGGTTACTGAACCTAACGCTTTTATCGCATTAAAGCATACATATATTCTTCAATACAGTTAAAAGCACAAGGAGGCTTAACTATGGCATTATGAATATCACATTATATAGTACAAAAATAATACAAAATAATTCTTATTCCTTTGTTTTTATTGGCTAAGAACACTATKTAGTAGTAATTAGTAATATTTATTTCACCGATAAAGTGCGCCCACTCTCTCAACACTGAAGACATATCTTATACGAAGCCAAGRCAGTTCAGCTAATTTATTAATTTCAATGATAAAAAACACTACCTTTAAGAGACATCACTCAAAAAAAAGGATTATTACGATTATCAGATTCCTCGAGAGCTTCACCGTGTTAGTGTATACAGCCACTCCATCAGAACACAAGCTGTGGTCTAATTGATGTGATTATTTGAATTATAATGATCATGATGGAGCGGAGAGATGGGAATTTGAAAAAAAATAAGTGGAGCAGATGGAAATATACGATTGAATTGATGAAATGAAAGATGAGGTGATGAGATGAACGTAATAAATAAGATGATGGCGGAAAACATGACGCAAACGTCCTATTTAATAAATATACYAATCTAATTTTATCTTTATTAGCTTGTTACACAATAATGAAYGAAACAAAAGCAGCTTCCTTTATGAAGTCTGCAAGAAACTACAATAACTAATCCTGTAAAAAATTAAATATTGAAAATTGTACTGAAATAAATAAAGGCCCTGAGTTACACACGAATGGCTTACAGTATCATACAATGTCTATTTCATTTAATTTKAGCTATGTGCATGCGTCTRTACTGCTATATTGGCAGCCAATTGACGTCATCTCAGATTAATGGTACATTTTCTTATCAGATAGGTCCACAATCTCATATCCTGAAGTCATTGAATATTGAAACCCAAAAAGGCCCATTTAAAGGAATGAAGTGTTGTATTATTCCTTCGTATCCTTGCCTCAAAGACTCGGATTGCTGTTCTAATGTTTGTAGTCATACGACACGACTAGGTAGGTAAATATAGTTGTCCTTTAACTTGGTATTTGTTGGTAAAGAGCAAAAGATAACAATAGATTTATAGTGTGGTATCGATTCTAGAGGGAAGTCCAAAAATCCAGATATTACACTACACCTTCTTTTAAGCTTAAAAGCTCTAATTGCATTTTGTTTTCTTCTGTGTCTATTGGATTATCTAGAAATACTATAAGAAACCCGAAGAGGCAGGAATATTGAGAACGAGACCAAATGCTAATTTCCACCCCTCCTCCTATCATATTTTATCAAGATCACCTTCAATATAATGCTGATGTTGTRAAAAACTGCGTCTTTGCGCGCATGTTAACACTTACCTGATTCAGTGTTCAGTTATGAGTTGAAAAAAATCATTTTGCTCCCTATTATTTCGTCTGATAGGAATCATTAGTCTTAATCTGCTTTTAGTGTCAGTACTCGTTAGTAAATTACAATCTTTCTTGTGATAAAAGATAATTTTATTTTGACCCGGAAGTCGATTTAGGTACATGTCTACATGGTGCGAAATCATTCTATCTGATTCATATTTACTCCATTACTGAAATATAACTGACCTTATCATTTGTAGTTCTGCGCACAGCACAGTTGAATATAATGTATGGAATTTGAACTTAGTTTTTTTTCTTTTTTTTTCAGGTATCAAGCTTTGTCGTCACTAATCCATCATAAATAGCCACARCCACAAGCTCGAAGCAGTTTAATAGTCATAATATCAATTAT